CAGGGTGTACATCCCACAGGAAGATCTGTCTGTCTGCAGGGTGTACATCCCACAGGAAGATCTGTCTGTCTGCAGGGTGTACATCCCACAGGAAGGTCTGTCTGCAGGGTGTACGTCCCACAGGAAGGTCAGCACATTTATAGAGGGACTCTCGGAGCTTGGCGTAGAGTGAGGAACCCTTCCAAAGTCTAGATCCCGAGAGCATATGTCAAGTAGCCCTGAGGAAAGCAGAGGGGAGCCACGGGAAGAACACCGGGAACAGAAAGGGGGAGGAAGGGCTGAGCGCAGAGAGGCTGCCGCGGGGAACCTGTCCATCGGACAGAAAACCGGCCGGCCGTGTGGCACAGTGGGCTCCTTTAGAGAGAGAGGGCATGGCTCCCAGGACAGGCAGAGCCAGACTGCATCTCTGCGGCTTCATCTGAACATTACCGCTGCCCAAGCTGGAATCGGAAGGAGGCAGAAAGCTTGGTGGTAGCTGTGTAGCACTTGACCCGGGTACCCGGCCATTTCCGTCATTTCGCGCTCTGTCCTCCACACGTGTGTGTGTGCATGTCCCTGCTAAGTAGGGTCCTTCACAGACCACCCTCTGCCTCCCCGACACCCAAGGCATGAAGGAGGTAGCTGAGTGCCCCGGGACCAACCTGTACCCCACTCAAGCCAGTTTGGCTGTCTGCCTTCTAGCTCACACTGCAGCTCATGATTCAGGCTAGAAACGTGAAGAGAAATCCTCTAAGGGAGAGCCGTGTGCAGAGAGCCATCTGCGAGGCTCATGGCTGTCATTTCTTCACTGGACGTGCAGCAAACCCCGACCAGAGGAAGCCTTACCGTACTTGAGTTTCACAGATGTACAGTGATGTGAGGCTGTGCACAACTGTCCTAACGAACAGTCCTAACTAACATCCGCCGGTGAATGACCGAGTGTCCTGTATTCTACCCATACATTATATAACCTGTCCCTGCCCTACCTCTCCCTTCACGAGGAGTTTTAGGTACTGAATCGGGTGCTGTCTTAAGACCTCTGTGTGTAAAGGTTGTAATGAGTAGTATCATGACTTAGAAGCCCATGGATAAAGAGAACAGGTCTTTTCAAGCCCACAGATGCCATGGCTCGGGTGGTAATTGCGGGGTGTGGTTGCAGGCCAGCCGTGGGGAACCCTGTCTGAAATTACTGTATAGTCTTTTTTTTTTTTAATGAAAAACTCAGCTAGTTCCCATGTCCAAAGGCCTTAGAGCTTCCTTCCCAGCTGCCCCACACACAGTAGGTGGACTTGTTCTGCTTCCACACAGACATGGGCCTCTTTTGAGTCCCATTCCCGGCTAATGCCTGCGCTTTGAACTCTTATTACTCAAGCTCCAAAATCCAAGAAGCCAAGGGATCAAGAAAGAACTCGGGAGACGCACATGCCCGGTGTTAAGCAAGCTAACGGCTTCCTTGGGCTGCCTGGGTGTCCTGTTGAGCTCAGGCCACACTGTGGCCCTGCCATGAGATCAGCCCCCAAAGGGCTGACGGGCCAGAGCCATGGCGGTAAGGTCCAGGCCTGGCCCCTCCTCGGCACCCATATCGCTGCTACAGAGCATGAGTGAAATGCAGCGGCTCTCACCCTGCAGGGGAGTCACGGGCCTTGGCAGTGTGGGAGGATGTGGGCGCTTCTGTTAGCTGTCGTTTTCATTCCGTCTGGGAGAAACTGGGGGCTTACACACAGGTGCGTTCACCTGCCCGTCTTCCGGCTGGTGTTCGGACTGCGGGTTGAGGCCTGCTCATCAGTTAGAAGTTCAGAGAGAGCCGCCTTGCTTACATTCAAAGCTTAATCCTGTTATTTTTCAGAACACAAAGACTCCACACAAGTGTGTCATAGCAATTGGTGATGGCACCGGCGATGGCGGTGGTGGTGGGTGGTGGTGGTGGTGGTGGGTGGTGGTGGTGGTGGTGGTGGTGGTGGTGGTGGTCTCAGAAGTCTCACATTGAAGACCAGAGCCTCCCCTTCCTGGGTGGTGTCCCAGGTCCTGGGAGTGGGGCTTGATGGCATCCACGGGATCAGAAGGAAGGGGCCGCTCCCTTGTCAGTACAGTGGCGGGGTAGGGATGACTTCGTTGATAAGCAAGTCTGTGGGTTACTCTTCCCCTGTGACTACACATGACCACACAGCCAGTTCCAGGCCAATGTTAGCAACTCCTCATCCAGTGAGGCATGTGAAGGGTCCAGCCTTGACTCCCGGCTGCGTTTTCCTAAGCTGTGCCTCCTGTGAGTCAGGCCCTGAGAATAAGGACTGACTGACTGCACACAGTCTCCTGCGGCCAGGCTATGGCTGCTCTGCTCATGTACAACATTTAGCTAATGATAAACCCAGTAGAAGCTGCCTGTGCCCGATCCACAGGGGAGGAAAGTGAGCCTTGAGAGCAGAACTTACCTAAAGACTGAGGGGCAGGTAGTATCGCAGGGTGTGGACACAGGCCTCTCGTCCCCTTTGGAAACAGGTGTCTCTCGGTGGCCACCCATCCAGACCTGTGTCCACTAAAGCCCTCCGAGTTGCCTGGAGTCACTTTGTCCAAGTCTTAGCACAATGAGAATTAAAGCTCCCATTGACATTTACTCGGCCCTGGAAGGACACCCACCTTGGTGTTCCCAGGGTAGATCACCCGGATCCATACTCAAATGCTTACATAGTCCCGTTTCACCTCTAGCAGAACTAACTCCATTTTCCTCCCGCAGATCCGAGGGCCAGCAGGAAGTTGCAAACTTATTTTCCCAAGTTGCTTGGTCTGCGCCCACACAGAGACCCTGACATCCCACGCTGTCTCTCCTTTCTCCCTGTCCCCCGAGCATTGATTGAAACCTAGTTACCCGCTGCTGGCTTTTGGAAGCCGGCCTTGAGTGTTGGCGGGTGTGTGGATCAGATCTCAGCGCTCCCAGCCTGCGTGTGCTGCCAGCCCCATGCCGGTGCCGTTGACATGATGGGCTCGGGCGCTGCTGTCGCATGAAAGTGAGCTCTTCATCCCACCTCTGTGTTCCAGAGCAAGAAGAAAACTTTGAGTTTATCATTGTGTCCCTCACTGGCCAGACGTGGCACTTTGAAGCTACCACGTACGAGGAGCGAGACGCGTGGGTCCAAGCCATCGAGAGCCAGATCCTAGCCAGCCTGCAGTCCTGCGAGAGCAGCAAGAATAAGGTAAGGCCCTCAGCAGGCTGCCCCAAAATCAAGGCTGCCGATCATTAAAGGGGAAAGAAGGCCCAAGTGGAGCCCCAGGGGGGGTGGGGGGGACGACACAGGGGCGTCAGATGGCTTGTGTGGATGACAAGATCCAGGTACGCTTTGTGAGGAGAAAAAAACTAAGTAATTGAAAAGATAAAACCACTTTGTATCTACAAACACCATGCATGTGTTGGTGTCCTGGCTCGGCCGTCTGTGTGTGGCAGGATGTCCAACACGAAGCCTTTGCTGTGACAGCCAGCGCCACGTGGGATGGGCTCGTCTCTCTCTGTGGGCGACAGAGCCTTTTGGACTCGGCCTGCTTATGCGTCCATACTTATTTTTTTTGTTATTATTGTTTGAGGCAGAATAAATCAGAAAAAGAGACGTTGGCTTAAAAGATGCCCTATCCTGCCCTCATCAATGTCTCGCACGTCAGAGGGATACAAACGAAACGCAAGGGAGATAGAGGGAGTTTGGGCGAGGTGAATTTTCTGTTTTTTTTTTTTTTTAAAGTCTGGTGTATGTTTCATTCAGTAATTAAAAAGAGTTCTCCAGCAGTTGTTTGGCCAGAAATAAAAGTGTGTTCACTGCATTTTCTGGGCCACTGTTCAGCGATCTTCCTTATAGTGGTCCTGTCTTTCCCAGCCGGCTTCTTTCCATTGCAGTCTTTGAACCCTTAGGTACACAGAACGCTTTGCTGACCCATTGAGATTCTTGGTGAGTATTTTGATTTTTCAAACTGTGACTGACTGGAAACCAAAGAAAGACATTGCCATCCACCTGCAGTTTCATTTATAAGCATTTAAAGAACCCTCTGCCCGTGATGTATGGCCAGCTTTGTCATTAAGAAGGGAGTCTGTTTTTCAGAGAGACAGGATGTATTATTTTATTACCCTCTTGAGCCAGGGTAAGCCAGACCACAGTCATTATTATTATTATGTAATTTGCTTCTCTCTTGGAAGACAGTTTATACCCAACTGGGAAGAACCACTGTCTTTTATTCTGGGCTCCCCGATTTCTCGGGTCATATTCCCTCCCCACCCAGCCATGTTGTCTCTCCCTTCCTCGGCCATGGGCTTGGTGACACCTGCCATCCGCAGGCTTGGAAGTCTGGTTTCAGAGCAGGTAAGAGGGCACATGCATCAGACAAGCACGTCTCCAGGTGTTAGGGAGAAATGAATCTCACACATTCTGACTGAAGCCACGCCCCTTCTCCTTGATTCCAGAGGCCCTGGCTAGTGCTGCCTTCTCCCATTTCACTTCCTAGAGAGTCTCTTCCAGGTTGCTCCTCTGAATCCAGACAGGAGGGTGTCAAGGACCAGAAGCCGATGCCAGCTCACCAAAGCTGCCCTCTGTATCCATGGGCAAGCATACTTGTAGAAATGGCTTCCCCTGAGAGGAGGTTCCCTTGAGCAGCTGAAGGACATCATGTGTATGCGCGCGCGCGCGCGCACACACACACACACACACACACACACACACACACACACACACACACACACACACACACACACACACACACACACACCCCTGGGCAGCTACTGACCAGGTGTGAAAGGATAAAATGGGACATAGTGTTCCCACCATGGCTGACTTGGGGAGGAAAATCCAGACTCCATTAGAGAGAGAAGTACCTAGTATTTCAGCTCCTGGTGGATCATCCAGAGCTGACCCAGAAAGATAGAGCAACCAACCAGTGAGTCACAGAATTCTTCAGATATATGAAAAAAGAAACAGGGAGATAGGTAGACCCCCACCACCATCCACATGTGAGTGTGTGACACCTCCAGATGCCAATTCAAGTTGTTAACGTTCTCTGATTCCTAAAGGAAATAAAAACATGGTAGGGCTGGGGAGATGGCTCAGCAGCCAAGAGCACTGGCTGTTCTTCCAGAGGACCCAGGTTCAATTCCAGGCACCCACATGGCAGCTCACAACTGTCCATGTAAATCCAGTTACAGGGGATCTGACACCAATGCACATAAAAAATAAAGTAAAATAAATTATTTTTAAAAACCCCATCACAGTAGTACATGATGCCAATTAAACAATAGCAATAAATAAATGATAACTTACTATTAAGTAGCAAGCAATAAATTGTTTCACGTCTATCTAACACAAGATACCTTAATTTGTGAAGAATTTGTACACAAAATAATTTATTCTAAGTTCTGAAACTAAGCAGCTTTTGCTTTAATTGTAATATCAAATGCATATTGAATATGCATATTCTTTCCCGTTCTGCCCCTTTGCTTCCGGGATGTCATCCTTACTGCGTAGTCAGGAATGTGTGTAGTGATTTATACGAAGCATGCCTGTTACAGCACTGTCCAGGGTCGGGGCTGCCTGGAGCAGTCCGAGTACATAGCCAAGGCACCTGCTGTACACTCACTAACTGGAGTCGTGTGCATGTACGTAAATGATGATGGTTGAGGCTCTATGGACAAGTGGTGGACAGATAATAATTACTAGGCACGAGAGGCAAGCTGCAAGGCCATGCATACCTGCCCATCCACCTTTCCTGCAGGGCCTGTGTGCACAGAGACAGATAGAAAAAACAGCCAGAGCATCTCTGACTGATGGAATCCTGGCGTAGAAATGCTCGTGTCTTTGCCCATGTTTTCTAACGGTGCCGCACTAGGTGGACCTTTAAAAAAAATCTCTTCTGAAGACTGTAAAGTGTGCTTAAAAATAAATGCCCCTACCTCACTCCAATGAGTAACTTTGATTTTATAGCAAGTGAGTGATCGTCACGTGCGGGAGAGAGAGAGACTCTCCTGGCCGTGATGTGTGGAATGGTTGGGAGTTTTCTGATGAAGAACCAGGAGATGGCTCTACGTATGTTGATGGAGGCCTGACCCTTGGCTGATACACAGATTCTTTTTCTCTCACTCTTTAATCTTCATACCAAGTAGCTATATGCCCATGAAGGTGTACCGGCCAGCGACATTCTCTGGGTGGCAGTCTCTGGTTCATTCACAAATGGTGGAGGTCTGAGCACCTGGCTCATTTCGGGGAGAGTCCCTGTCAGCGAGTAATCGTGACATACGACCTTTCGCTCTCCCTCACAAACTTCCCTAAGACATCCGAAAAGCAGCAAGTGTTTGGAAATTGCACACCACTGCACCTGTGCGTAATCTCTTTGGTTTTTCTCTGACACCATTAGAAGATTGTGGATTTCTCCTGTCTGCTCACATCTTGCATTTTCTGTCTTCCTTTGTGCCTAGTCCCGACTAACCAGCCAGAGCGAGGCCATGGCACTGCAGTCCATCCGGAACATGAGAGGGAACTCCCACTGTGTGGACTGTGACGCCCAAAGTAAGTACACGGTGCCCCCAGATCTTGGTCGGCTCTGGCACTGAGGGCTTGATATATTCGAATTTGGGTTTTGTTTGCACATAGAGTCCTGCACACAGCCGTCTGGTGCTTCAAGTGTGCCGTTGTTTATACACTGGACTGCTGTGTGCGTTTCTTAAGCCTTGGGCATCACAATGAGTAAAGGACTGAAACTGTAGTGACTGCATCCCTTGGAGTTACCCCCGCATGTCACACTTTCTGACTTGTAAAAGGTAATATTCCCTTTGAGAGTAAAGTTCCCTTCCTATATCCTGGGGACACAAAGCCTTACCTTATGTCTGCCCCCTCAGAAGCTATATTGAGGAACCTTTGCCCGTTCATGTTGTTATGTAGGGTCTTGAAGGTGGAAGCCCCACCCACCAGGGCACACGGTCTACAGTCTTGGGAAGGAGCACAAGGGACCTAGGTCTTTGAGATCATCTACTTCAAAGCAAGCTTCCCGCCAGAGTTGGCTTGTCAGAAGGGCTCTGAGGAAGAATTGGGGGGGGGGGGAGAAAGTGGTGTCACTGGAGGCTGCAGCCTCACAGAGACCTCCCTGGGTGAGCCAGGAAAATGAGTGGCATCTCAGGCCTGAAAGGATGGAGACGATGGTGATACGTGGGTGCCGATGGAGGATGGTGAGGTCCTTATGCATTTGTAGGGGTGTGAACTGTCCGAGTCTCACAGCAGAGACTGTGCTGTTTATGGAAGGCACTGCCTGTCTGCACCAGCTCACTCTGTGAGAGGACAGCAGACTGACTGAGTCAGAGCAGGTGGAATGTGAGCATCACCTCAGACACGCAAGCACTAGCCTAGGGTTGCTGTGGACAAAGGGGAAGAGCTGAGATTCCCCCAAGGGCCCTGGCCAGCAGGTTGTCCATGCGGCCTGACTGACCATAGCCCAGTGGGAGCCCGTCTTCAGGGCAGGAAGGGCAAGTTCTTCCACAGACTCCTTTGGGCATTGCTTTAAAGTCTCTCTCTTTGTTTGAATTTTTTAATTTTACTTTCAAAATGTGAGATGGAGAGAAAAGAACATTATTTGAAGTGTTTTTTATCCAAAACTTTCCTTAAACCAGACTTTTTTTTTTTTTAAGCATAAAACCTGAGGCATATTAAAAAAAAAAAAAAATTCCAGAGATTGATGTCTGTAATTGTTTCCAGCATGCAACTAGAGATTCCTCAAAAAGAAACCAATCTGTGGCTTCACGGGAATCTGTGGCATGTGGCAAATTGGAGGTCACAGGTCCTTTCTGAGAAGAGACGGGCTTATGCATGCTAAGGATGGGCAGGAAGGGGAGGCCGTGGGACCAGCCTAGAGACAAAGCCACGTGAGCGGATGGGACAGAGATGGTAAAGGCAGAGTTGGGAGCTTCAGAAAAGAAGGTTTGAAGGCCGTTCACCAAGTATGCTGTATCTAGTCCACGCAAGTGTTGTGTTTTTGAGTTCTAAAGAGTGATAGTTGGGATTGTCATGGGCCCATGGACAGGACAGGACAGGGAAGGAAGAGTCTGGGCCTACAGCAGTTTGTCCAGGTCACTGAGGTAGCAAGCAGTACTGTGCAGTTCAGCCCACACCCTCCGCCAGCCTATTACTTCCTCAGAGGCCTTAAGATGCTTGGCGCACCCAATGTGAACTGTGTGAGCAAGCAGGGAGGAATCTGAAGTGTAAATGCCCGGTGTAAATGCCAGCAATGAGATCCGCGTAGCCCACGCTGGCAGTGAGATGTGAGCCTGTTCACAGGGTGTCGGGGCAGTGTGTCTAAGCCTGTGACGGCTGTGTGCCTTTGACCGCAGCAGTTCCCCTTAGGAAGGATCCCAGTGGGAAGGAAGGAGGTCTCTGCAGGAAAGGAGCAGACACCAGCTTTAAAGATGTCCCTCTCCAGGACTCCGTGGACCGAAATCAGGGCCACCCCACATCTAGAGGCTCGGAAGAAGTACTGGTGACACATGTCAGTGGTGTAACAGACATGGTGCCTCCTGGTAAAGCCCCTGCTAGAGAGTCTCCCTGGCCCGCCATTTCATGTGTATCACCCTTGGGGGTTGAGGATATGGCCTGAGGACTTGAGTGCAGTGTGGGATTTAAGGCCACAATTACCGCAGATCTCCTCCGTTTTGTACATTTAACCTGTCTCATAGGTTCCAAAGAGGGCCATGGGCCCCCTTGGCTGTCGGCTGCTTGTCTATAAAGAGAGATTCTGGTCCAGTGAATTTGGAAAAGTCAGTGGTATCCACCTCTCAGGGAAAGGCCCATCACTATCTGAGAATTTTGCCCTAGAGTGAACTTGCAACCTGGCCCGTGCAATCCGGCTAGAGCCCTGTCGGTTCCCAGGAGATCTTGTCTCACCCACCAGCCTTGCCTTCTACGGTCCTCCAGTCCCTTAGATGTGGGCTCTGCTCCGGTGGGGCTCCTCTGTATGCACCCAGATACAGTGTGTTGTCACAGCCTCGAATGCCCATAGCCATGAGGAAGAGTGGGCACACAAAGCTCTGTCCAAAAGCAGAGACAAGGTTCTTGATATCCCCTTACTACATTGGGGGTGGGGGTGGGGAGAGATGGCCAAGTGAGCTGTCCTGGGGAAGGTAATTCTAGCTGAGACCAAAGAGAGAGCAACATGCCAGGCAGAGCTGGAAGTGAGTGTCGTGTACAGGTGGATGAAGGCAGCGAGGGTCTCACATGAGACAGGGGAAAGGGGGTGGGGCTCAGTTCCGATCCTGTCAGATCAGGTTAGACTTGATCCCAGTGGCAGGTGGTAGCCACAGCAGGTTTTGAGTCTCTGTGTTACATGATTGGGCCTGCTACATTTCCTGGCTGCTGTTGCAGGGGTCAGGATATGAACTTACAGACATGAGCTGTGATAGTCCCACCAAGGACAAGAGTGGGAGCTCTGTTCAAGAAGGCTTGAATTTAAGAGAGCATCTCTGGGGACAGTGTTAGAAGGAAGGTCAACTCCCCAGGTCCTGGGAGAGCATTGGTGTCGTTGGGAGAGGTAGAAAGAAGCTTGACAAAAGAAACCATCATGGGGCCAGCTGATGTCAGGCAGGTCTGTACAGAATTTTTCAGCTGGTAAGCGAGGAAGAGGTAAGAGCTGTTGACAGTTGTTAGAGTTTGGGTTCTCACAAAAGCCAAGGTCAAGCTGGCTTTGCCAGGAAGAGAGAATGGTGTCAGAAGAGAGGAGATTACAGGAGCCAAGGTGTGGGCCAATTTGAGGGGGAAATGCCGGGGATAAGACTAAAACTAGGGAGAAAATCCCAAAGAGACATTTAACTCCAACTGCATCCGAGTTCAGCATCAGGAAATGGGAGTGGGCAAGAGACCAACAGTAGGCTGAAGGGTTGTAACCATGGAGGTGGCCGGCAGCTATGACAGCCCTGTCTCGGTGGCCAGAGCTGATGGGGGCAGCAGAGCAGAAGCCCAGCTCTGAGGGATTGCAGACACCAGGCGAGAGCCTTGCTGAGAAGTGTTTGCAAGCTCTTCACCCGCTGCGTCCAGCGGCCTGCGTCCGTGATGCCTTCCACGCTGTTCCCACTCACTGCTTTTCTCCCTTCTGCGACCACAGGCACCTGACAAGAGGCAGCTGTAGGAAGGGGGGCTCCTTTTGACTTCAGTTTGAGGAGCTGAGTTTGTAGTGTGATGGGTATGGGGAATCCTCTGCTGGGCCAGCTCTTTGGTCCCCTCTCCATGGACCAGGATGCCCAGACAGCACAGGAAATGGGGCTCAGCCCCAAACCTCAAGGCTCCTCCCGCTAGAGATCCACTTCCTCCACCTAGACCCTACCTGTGGAAAGTTTCACACCCACCAAAGACGGCTCCCCCTGCTGGAGACCAAGTGTTCAAACATGGGAGCCTGTGGGGGAGCATCTCACATCCAAACCACAACACACTTGTCTCCTGCTGCCTGTAACTTAATCCTTTCTCGTCTTCACACAGTCTGTATGGTTCTGTATCCTGTTCTCTTTGCTTCTGTTGGAGACCTAGGTTTCCCCTTACCCATCAGAACATCTCTGAGATCACTGGCCTCCTCTGGGGTATGAAACAGCCCCCTCCTTGAGTTGTACTGATGTTAAGTAAGTGGCTTGCTGACATTTGCTTAGTCACCATGCAGCCATCCATGGTCATTTGCCCTGTAGAGAGCCCAGGAAGTCTCCCCAGGGGTCAGATCAGTTTTTGCTGACTCTTCTGGTAGACTTGAATAAATGCCAATTCTACCTGTGTGAGTTTAGCCTCTCTTCCTGGTACCAGTGAGAGCCGGTGGTCATCAAGGTCAGCCTGTCCTTGCAAAACATCCAGAGATTGTAAGCTCAAAGCCAGCCCTGGGCCCAAGTTCCAGATCATCTGATGATATCATCACATATCACCACACAATGACAGATCTGTCCCCAGCGCTCCCCACCCCACCCCAGCCATTCTCTACACAAGCCCACCATCCCACAGAACTATATGTATCCTTGTCCTATCAACCCAGCCTGAAACATACACTCCTCAAGTCACGGTTGAGGGAACTGGGTCCTGATAGAACTGTGTTACCTACCCACTCACCTGCCAGTGGCCAATGAAACCCTGTGAATCGCTGCAATGGGTACCCTTGCATGACCATACCTTCTCACAGGAATGTGCCTCTTCCGTCTTTGAAATTTGTTAACACAACTAAGCTGAGCTAACAGACGCAGAATGGGGTTATGAGGGCCAGTGAAGCCTCCAGGCATGACCTGGGCCTTGGTGGCACCCAGATGCCTTGTCTCTGCTTCTCACTCCATCATCAGAGGTCCATAGTGGACATCTCAACACACATGACTTTTTTTTTTTTTTCCTAATGGGCACCAGTCCCGAACAATGCTGCTAAAGTATCAGAAGAGGTATCTCTGTCCAAATGAACACCAGTTCTGGGAAACTGGATTTGCCACAGCTGCAAGCAACATACCATGTTTTCCCTGACACCAGGAACAGCTCCAAGTCATGTGACGGTGGGGACGGACTGCCTGGTCAGATGTCCCTGAGTTCAGGAACATTGAGAATGAATGGTGGCGGTCTGATTGAAATTTGCTCCTGTTTCTTTTCCTGTAGACCCTAACTGGGCCAGTTTGAACTTGGGAGCCCTCATGTGCATCGAGTGCTCAGGGATCCACCGGAATCTTGGCACCCACCTCTCTCGGGTCCGATCTCTAGATCTTGATGACTGGCCCATGGAATTGATCAAGGTGATGTCGTCCATCGGGAATGAGTTGGCCAACAGCGTGTGGGAAGAGAGCAGCCAGGGACGGACAAAACCCTCATTGGACTCCACAAGGTAGGAATGCACAGGTGCTCCACCAGCAGCTACACAACTGGGGATGACCTCAGGGGCAGCTGCAGTGGTTGCCTTGGCAACCGATAGGCATGCCGATTAGCCTAGAATAGATGCATCCGTATTTGAAATTGGTCTGGAGCAGATTGGATGATTCAAACTCCTTAATTTTTTATGTTTATTTTTAGGCCTTGGGGATTCCTCTCCCCTCTTGGAAATGTATTAGGCTTCTAATCTTATGAATATATTACTTTAATTAATATATTTCTAACAGGCACAAGCTGTGCTAACACTAATTATAAATTTTTGATTCTTTGGTTTTGTATTCTTTCGTACACCCTTGGTAAGCATCTTGTGGGTAACCAACCCCCTCACCTGCTCCTGCCAACAAGTGAGTTTATAATGAAGAAAATGTATTTTATTTTCTAAAATATACTTCTAACACATTTAATTAAGTACAGTTAAGCATAATGTATGGTGACTCCTCATTAATGCTAATTGTTATCCAGGATAAAAACGCATTTATTTTGAGGCCATTTAGTTTCTCATTTTTCATTTACAGCGATTATAAACCATTTTTGAGGATATGCATACATATTTAATCCTCCCAAGAGGTGGCTGAAATAGCCCATTTTCAGAGTCCTATTTCATAGTAGCAGAGGGGTCAGCTCATCTCTGGTTGGTCTTACCAAGAACATCTGAAAAGGTACTGGGTGTTCTGTGTTCCGAATGTCCCGCCCCCACCTCCGGCTTGAGGCCTGCTTCTGCCCTGCTTCTCAAGGTAACCGGAGGAAGAGGCATTGGTCCTGCTGAGCATCGGAAGTTTGTTTGTTTGCTGCTGAGATACAGTGAGAGCCGAGTGGCTATAAACCAGCGGTTAGGCGGCACGTCCAGGTTCCTAGCCAGTGATCTCCTGAGACCTGCCGCTGGGTTCATTTCACTAACACTGCAAAATGGATGCGTGGCGCCCCCTCTGGTGCACATCAGAAGTGACGCTGCCGTACCATAATCCTGTTTGTGTAGGGCAGGCAGGAAGGGGAACAGGAAGGTAGGGCCAGCAAGGTGATAAGGTGTGCTTGTTAAAATCACGGAGGTTTGCTGTGACAGGTCCTCATTTTATGAGTCAGTCTGTGGAATACAGTTAGTGATATTCTCACCAACAAGATACGCTGCCCTTCGAGAAGCTGTTATCTTTCACTCACATGGAAGTCAGCTGGGCTATTCACTCAATCCTAAAACATTAATTTGCTTTGTAGTATTGTGGGGTTTTTTTTCCCATAGTGTAGTTAAATTTCGATCTGAAAATGAAAAGATGATTGGAAGTTAAATTGTTTAATGTATGAAGAAAAACATTGAAATGCGTTAGAAAAAATGAATTCTATGCACCTGACCATTTAGGTTTAAAAGTAACCTATAGACTGTGTTTAACGGTGTGCCTTAGGAACATCTGCTATTCCTTTAGAGTGTCGAACACTCAGAAGCTGATCTGTGGTTGTCCTCATGTACCCGGCAGTGAGTGGCTGCTGGTGGGCAGTGTTCGGTTGTGACTGCTGCATGCCCTGTGCTGTGGCGCTGTGGCACTGTGGCTTTCCGCTCTGCCCAGCACTGCGCATGCCGCCGTCTACACTAGAGAAGGTGGGAGGAGTCGCCCCCTCACAAGTAGGATGACTGCAGTTGAACCTGTCGCCTTGGGTCACACTGGATATTCTCAAGAGCCTTCCTGAGTCAGTAATCCTTTCCAAGGCTGTGATGATGTGGCATGATGACAGTGGCATCTCCTGACTTTGGAATTTCTGTATTTTCAGACAGGCATGAGATCTGGAGGCTTATTTGTGTCTTTGGTAAAATTATCCCAGGAAGTTTTTTTGTCTGGTTAAATTCAATAAACGTTCACCAAACACTCCTAAGAAGAGGGGGAATGAATAAAGGATGAGTATCCTGACATGTGGACCCTTTGGGGACCAGTTGAGGACACGGGCTCCAGGAAGTTCATAGCCATGGCTGATTTCCAGGAGAGAGGTGTGGGAGGATAGGGCAGCCTAGGCAGAGGCAGGAAGGTCCTTCCTGCAGCACACATGGTCAGCAGTGTGCCTCCTGCAGGGCTGGACCTCCTCAGAACAAGAAGCAAGGATGTGTTTGCTCTGGGAAGCTCTTGAGCCTGGGTGGCTGATATCAGAGGGATTTGGGTCGGATGAATAGTCTGCGTTTGTGTTGGACCACATTCCATCTGTTCCCGAGAACGCTGAAGTCAGCAACAGGGCGATTGGAAAGGACCAAGACAGACCGAGCCAAGGACCACCTAGAAGGTTACCAGCCCTAGGGACACCACCATAAATGAGAAATACCACAGCCCATACACAGTAGAGATCCTACCGCCTCCCGCCTTCACCGCCTCCCGCCTTCACCTCCTCCCACCTTTTCCCCAAATAGAAACAAAAGCCTGGCAGTCTGGGCTAGAATCGGTCTGGAATTCACCCCAGAGAGTTGGTATCTAGTCTAGATACTGCCTGTCCTAGATGCCTATCCGCCCCCCAACACCCAGGCTTCCCACCTTCTCCATAGGAATAGAGGCCAGTTCTAGAAGCATTGCGAGGCCTGAAACTATCCCAAAAAGAAATAGTTTTATGAATATTGATGTTAATTCAAGAAAAAAACAAATGTCACTCTTTGAAACAGGGGCCCAGATGTTTTCCCACAGAGCTTGGGTCTGTGTTCAGCATGGTTCAGGAGATTCATTCTGACTGTGGAATGTCATTAAAAATGTGCTGCTCATATACAGACATGTATACAACATGCGCATATACACATCCTAAAATATACATGCACACATATCCCAATACACACATATACACATGTATATACACTTCATATACACATACTTGTACACAGACACATTCCAACATATATACAACACATCTACACACCTCAGCACACAAACACACAGACACACATGTGCATAGACACACTTATATGCACACACACACACACACACACACACACACACCATATCTCTCTATAAAGAAACAGCCAGTCCCCGGAACAGCCGTGCGTTGGCATCGTCCAGGACTGCAGGCAGGTTGGGAGAACGGACGCCTGGCACAGCTGGCCGGCCTTCTGCCTGTTGTCCCCACACCCCTATTAGGGCAGCTCTGGATGGCCTATAATTGGTTCCAGCGATCCTCAGCCGCCCTGAGAACTGCCGTTCCAACTTGAGCAACATCGTGATCAATCGGAGCTGACGACAGCTGAAGCAGTATCGACTTCCCATTCCTAAACAGGGGGATCATTAGTCAGGGAAAGCATCTTTTAATTACTCCCAGGAAGCAGAAAAAAAAAAAAAAAAGAAGAAGAAAAGAAAAAAATCTTTTTGGATGGATTCTGCAACAGCTGCCATTTTTTTCCAGTACATTCGATATTAAATTTATTGTCGCAGGAGGGGAGAGGATGCCCTCCACCCCTCTGTAATGGGGGTTTGATTTGGAGGAAGAATCATGTTAGAGGGGCGATCGATGTGGCAACAATTAACTACATCTGGGCTGGAATCAGAACCCCCCCTCCCACATTGCTACTGATACCGTTTAAGCACACACTTAAAATGTCGATTGTAAATGGGGGTGTCCAGGTGGTCGGAGAGGCAGCAGCAGGGGACAGAGTTATCTGGAATTGGGGATAGCAATGGGTGTGCTTTGTGATCCTCGGAGTGTGTGTGTGTGTGTGTCATGCTGTGTAGTGGACATTTGGAACAGCTGAGTCTGGAGCCACCAGGTGCTCGGGGCTCTGGGTTCCAATGTGAAGAGACTAATTAACTGTCGCTGGGGAGAGTGCCAAGATCATTGGTGACCCTTTGAAAGGAAAAGAAAACAGCCTTTAGGGTGAAGGCACTGAGTCAGATGACTGCTCCTGCCACGCACAACACACAACAGGGTCACCTGACTGACACCCAGGTGTCGGGTGTTCTCCTGGCGGCCACACCACCTGGCTCCTCCCGGAAATGAAAGGAGGCTTGGGAGTCTGCAGCATAGCCAAGCTGCTCGGGCAAACCCCGGGACTCCTGTCCTCGTGGCTGTGTCCTCGTGGCTGTGTGTGGCACCGCACCACTCTGGGCTGTCCCCTCCTTGTCACGCCCTCCCATGTGGACGCTGCTTACGGAGGCTTAGGTGAAGGTAACTCTCCCCCCCCCCCCCCGCCCACAGGGTGGAGACCTCCAGGCCGAAGCCAGGGGACTTGGTGGTGTAACTGTCCCCACTCCACTGGCTTCCTGTCTTTGCCTCCCTAATGGCGTCTGGCCTGGGAGGGTCAGCGGGGACCACGCTATTTACATTTTAGTGCAGGTAGCCTATTTATGCGATGCTTGGCACCTGCTGCCCTGGGCTGGGAAATCAAAGGAAGTTGGAATGCCAAACTGTGTTTTCAGTTCCAGGAACAGCTCAGGAGAGAAACTCGGAGCAGAGCTAAAATCACCCATTCCCCCTTTGATGCCACTGGGAAGGGAACATTGGCGGGTTTAATGCGCACTCTCTTCCTGTTTCGAGCATCCTCCTGCCCACCCTCCTTTCATTATTTGTAACTTCATCTCCCTGCCTAAACTCCCTTCTTGTCTCTGGCCATCGATAGGAAGATCAGGGCCCACATCAGAACCCTGCGTGGGAGAAGACTGGCCACACACTTCCAGACCCCACCAGTCTGCCCGGCGAGAGGAGTGCCACTTCCTTTGATTCCGCAGGGCCACTTTTATCTTATTTATGCACACGGAGATATTGATAAAGGGGAAATGTATCCAAACTGAAAATAATTGGATCCCCGCAGCTGACTCGGAGATATTAAAAGCAGCCCCACTTGGCCAAGTCTTTGTCTTGTTAGGTTTGATCATAAGATCACAATATAGTAATCTCAGGCTCAAATTTCTGGCATAAAGATGCGCTGTTCTAAATGTGGCCTCAGGGACATGACTGCCCACGCGGCCCCAGGATTGTCTCCTCTGATTATTTTTCAACAGTTCTTGG